CACACACACACACACACACACACACACACAGGTTTGTTTTTATGGTTTATGGGGACTCTCCATAGGCGTAATGGTTTTTATACTGTACAGACCATATATTCCATTGTCCTACACCAACCCTACCCCTAAACCTACCCCTCACAGGAGACTTTCTGCTATTTCAGATTTTCAAAAAAACTCATTCTGAATTATTTATAAGCCTTTTGAATTACGGGGCACTGAAAATGTCCTCATAAATCACCTTCTCATTGTAATACCTGTCATACCCATGTTATTATACAAATTTGTGTCCACATAAACCACATAAACATGCACACACACACACACACGCACACATCAATAAAGTGATAAAATTTTATAAAATTTTAAGCAATAAAATAATAAAATAAAAATGCAATAAAATAAAAAATGCATAAAATAAAAAACTGAAATAACTGGAATATACTTATTGAAGTTTTTTTTTTAAAGTTTTTTTTTTATTGCAGACACTGAATTAGATGATCAAATACACAAACAGTGATTTATTGTGGTAACTATATTTCTGTAATGTTTCCCTCTGTGTGATGTATTGTGTGTCTGTCTCTTCTCCAGAACGGACACATCTGTTGCTCAGTGGATCCCATGTGTCTTTAGTCTCTGCGTCGACGCTAACAGCACCTGCACAGTCTCACGGCCCTCCCTCCACGACCTTCCCCAAATAATGCCAAATATGAATCGTGTATAATATCAGACAGACGCCAGCGTACCTGAGGAGGCCATTTCTGCACAAACAAGGACTATAAACCCATCGAAACACGACCACGCACACGCCGGCATGACCACACTGGATGTTTAAAGAATAAAACATTCATTTTTATCTCTTCGATGATCACAGGATGTAGACATTTTAGCTAGCAAGTAAATCTTATCGTGTTTCTCTTTTGCCTGGTTATGGAAGTCGATGCTATTTTGTTGGTGTTTTCACCGCACTTTTTTCGATTAGCTTTCTGTGTCTGTTTTTCCGTCTAGGTTTTAAATTATTATATGGCTTGTTCTTGTCTGATGGTGAATAAAATATCTCCATTTCCATTTATGGATGCGTTGACTTCTCATTTCCCAGCGGCGGGTGACGTTTCCCCAATATGTCGATTTGTTTGTTTGAGCTTGTTTCTGTCTGTTTGTGTGATCGTCTAATCGCAGGATTGTTTGCTGGACTCTAAACAAACAAACAAACAGACAAACAAACAAACAGACAGACTGAACCAGATTTCTTATCGTATTTATCTTTTGCCTGCTTATGGAAGTTGATGTTATTTTATTGCACTATTTCCGATTAGCTTTTCTGTCTTTTTCCGTCTAGGTTTTAAATGATTATATGGCTTGTTCTTGTCTGATGGTGAATATCTCCATTGACCTTTCATGTCCCCAGCGGTTGTGTTTGCAGACTGTGTCGCTCCACTAATGCCGTCTTACGAGGTGATCAGCGAGCGTGCTAATTAAACAGCTTTCTATGACCTTCTCCTCTTCCTGAAACATCATCATTATCTCCGATCTCTCCACAGCTTAAACACTCCGCCCAATCCAAATGCTTCCTGTGCCTCATTTGAATATCGCATGAATATTAAGCAGCTCATGAATATTCAGCAGAAGCGCGTGTCACGGTCACTCGGGAAACAGACTGTTTTGTGTTCACACTAGTTAGCATCGCATTAATATTATAGTTTTAACATATTATTAATATTATATTATTAACATTATTATGTCATTCGTGGAACGTTTTTTTTTTATGCTTCGGAGGAATCCGATTGGCTGCAGGCTTGACTGACAGCACTAAGCACCGCCCCATTCAGCTCAAAGTCAGAATTTCTTACCTTAAGCTCTTACTTTAAAAGTGCAGCAGAAAGGCATTTGAAGTCGACTTTCAACTTATAATGATCAGAGTTCCTGCTTAGCGAGCGCTTGCAGAGGCAAGAGTGAAAAACATGGCAAATGGTCTTCTCTGGTGATAATCGAACACCGGCAAATAAAAATAAGAAATAAGCATATGAATAAATAAATACATAGATAAAAATTATAAAATACGCAAACAAATGATTAATAAACAAAAACAGATGGAAGTAATAAAATTCCCACACTTTTAGACACTGCACAATAAATAAATATAGTTTAGCATTTAGTACTGTACATGGAAAATAATTTACTGGCATTTAAAGGGTTAAAATGAATGTATTTTTGATAGTTAGGATCAGGACTGATGTCGGTAAAAACATCTACATCAGAGAAATCAATAAATAAATAAGTTTAGCATTTAGTATACTCAAAATAATTTAGCTTTTGTGTGTTTTTTTCCCATAAAAACCCAAACTGGCATTAAAGCAAAACATAAACAAACAAACAAATAAATAAACGATCTATAATGATATGTAATGTTTTTTAGACATGGACATTTTTGTCCTCTGAGTAACCTTTTTTTAATTGATGCACAAAGGTTATACTGTATATTAAAGGAATAAACTGATGACTAACCTGTAGCACAAGTCTAAGCAATTTATGCAACAGGCCTCAGCGCTTCGGAGGAATCCGATTGGCTGCAGGCTTGACTGACAGCACTAAGCACCGCCCCATTCAGCTCAAAGTCAGAATTTCTTACCTTAAGCTCTTACTTTAAAAGTGCAGCAGAAAGGCATCTGAAGTCAACTTTCAACTTGGTAATGATCAGAGTTCCTGCTTAGCGAGCGCTTGCAGAGGCAAGAGTGAAAAACATGGCAAATGGTCTTCTCTGGTGATAATCGAATACCGGCAAATAAAAATAAGAAATAAGCATATGAATAAATAAATACATAGATAAAAATTATAAAATACGCAAACAAATGATTAATAAATAAAAACAGATGGAAGAAATAAAATTCCCACACTTTTAGACACTGCACAATAAATAAATAAAGTTTACTGTACATGGAAAATAATTTACTGGCATTTAAAGGGTTAAAATGAATGAATTTGAATGAAAATGAACGCATTTTTGATAGTTATGATCAGGACTGATGTCGGTAAAAACATCTACATCAGAGAAATCAATAAATAAATAAGTTTAGCATTTAGTATACTCAAAATAATTTAGCTTTTGTGTGTTTTTTTCCCGTAAAAACCCAAACTGGCATTAAAGCAAAACATAAACAAACAAACAAATAAATA